TGTATCAAAGGAGAGAAGGGAACTAATAGAATATCACAAAAGTAACTTTATTGGCAATGTTTTGTTTCTTAAACTTGGGTGATAGCACATGGATAGTTATTTTATATACTTTATGCCTGAACTATTTAATAAAAGGAAAAAACATGGAAAAAAAGAGTCACTTTGAAAGGAAATCTTAATGGTTGTAATTGACAACAAGCCTAGTGTAAATAAGCAATTTTGCTTTTTAAAAAGGTTGAATTAATATAATTATAATATACTCTTCTAAACAAGGTGTGTGTGTGTGTGTGTGTGTGGTGGCCCTGCTTTCTTTTCCATGTAAGACCATTTCTGGAGTCAGTAAATTGTGAGTGCCACATTTTAAAGGATGTATTAACTTACAGTGCATACCAAGAGAACAGAGATCACAATATTAAGAGATTCCAGCTTATCACTTTAAAAGGTAATGATTTATTGAGTAGAAGGCTTCATAATGACACAAAAGAGTATCATATAAAAGACCTATAAGATTTTGTACTGTGTCACTGAAGACAGCAGAAATAAAACTAGTTGTCAGAAATTCGGGGAAGGTTAATTTAGGTTCAGAAAGGTTTGATTCAATAAAACAAAGTTGGCATTATTTTCTTTTGCTCTCTGCAGTGCTAACTAAACAGCAGTACTGCTTGAATTCAAGATGCTTTGCAGAGACTTAGTTCCTCTGGATTCCTTGGTTGCAGTGGTGAATGTAAATGCATTAGTTTATAGTTGTCTTTATATGTAAGAATACCCATTATGGTTATTTTATAGCAGGTGAACCTGCATATGTTTATTTAAGTATTGTCACATACATATACCTTCGGGATAATAGATTTTGACAGAGTAACGGTTGCACTCAGCTATATTTATTACCCATGCTCAATTACTATCATTAAGACATGTATCAGCCACACTTTACCCTTGGTGGCTTGCTTTCTTTTCTTCAAATGGGTCATAGAAAAAATAATAACAGGGCCTCATTCACTTTATGATTAAGAATGTTTTACATTGATCTTATCCTGAGTATTTATGTGATAATAAATCTCCATTTGTTAGCTGCATTAAGGATCTAACAAATATAAAAATGTCTAAACGTGTGAGCTTTTAAACAATATCCAACATATATATTTTTTATTCAACCATTCATTTCTTGGAATGAAGTCTCAAAATATAGAAGGAAAAAAATTTCTGAAATAAAAGAACTCAGGTTGGGTAAGATACTTCAAAGATAGGTATGTTTTGTATTTCATGAAATGTTTAATGGACTACTCAAAACTTAAGAACCTTATAAAAATTCAATTTCTGAAAATGATGGCTGCATAAAGCAAGAACACAGTCAGAAATGTAGATATGGCATTAGTGATACATAGAGTCAAAATGGAATTGCTTTCTGCTGACTGTTTAATTTGTTTTCATGTTAGAATTCTGGTATTTTATTTCAGATATTTCTTCTAGCTGTTTCATTAAACATTTATTTTTATTTTAACAAATACCAGTTAATTAGTCATGAAAATATTGATGTGTTTCTAAATGTACACTGAAGTCACACAGAAGGTTACATTCTCAGGAAACATGTTCTAAGTGAAATGATAGGTCAAATTTTATATTTTGCTACAGAAACAATGTTATATGGGATCTTACACTTTTAAATCAAAGGGTGAGTGCTTAACTTTCTTTGAAGATAAACACTACCAAGTAATATATAACTTGATACTTTCTCAGTTGAATTCTCATTATTTGTGAGGTTTTTGTTTACCAGTTTCCTCTACCTTTCTTTGCTTAGTATTATAGATTTGCTACTTCCAGCCCTAGAGAATATGACACTCAATCAAATATCTTTCAGGCAACATATATATCCTGTAATGAGAAATATATTGACTTCAATGTCAAAGAAATAAGGAAACTAATAATTTATATTTTATGCCTGGCAACACTGACCACTGGGAAAAGTACAGTGATACAAAGGAAGTTAAATGAAATATTTTTATTCATTTTTCAGAAAGCCACTAGCTATATCTAAACTTCATGTTAGTATTTTTTTCCCCAAAACCTCAAAGAGGTTACTTTGAATTCTGTGAAGGGTGCTTTTTGATTGTTCCAGGAAGTTGAAGAAGGGCTATGTATTATAGTAATGACATAGGTAACAATACGATCGCAGCAGTGGTAGAGATTTGCCCTGCTTTGTGTTATCTAGACTTACTCTTGACCTCCTCTGTCGTTTGAGTTTGTAATTGGAAAGGGACATGGGCCTTTTGATAGGTAGACCTGTAATAGAGAGTATACTTCACAAGCAAGTTTTGAAAGTTACGGTTGTGTTGAAAACCGCTGACTGTAATTTTCTATAATGAACTGAAATATTGGAAACTAAAGGAAAATCATCTTTTGTCTTCCTTGGGCTGAGACTGGGAGGAAGAAGCAATGGCAAGAATTCAGAAAAGACAAATAATCTATATCCTCTGAGTCATGTTAGGCAAGTAATTATTTTATAGGTAGAATTAAATTTGACCGAAACTGTTACAGGGTAAAAGGCTTTGAGCGTATGTCTCAGAGGCAGTATAGAAAGAAGCTACTTCGTACTGCTGACATACATTAGGCATTAGAGAAAGTTCTGACCAAAACATCATCATCCATTGATCTGTTAAGAGCATTTTACTCTTTTGAACTATTTCTTCCTTGGGTTTTATGCTAACTTATCTTTTCTTCTTGAGATAAAGTAAAAAAAAAAAAAAATACTCATTTATCCCAGAAGGACTAAAATAATGACATTATTGAAAATAATTTTAGGTTTTTAAGTAGAGTATTTATCATAACTTTAAAAAAAAAGCAGCAAGAACATAATGAATACATTTTTGAATAGCAAAGTTCCAAGTTTGTTCTTCAAAATTGCCAGCAATATTTCCAAACTTCTCCGTGTTAGTGTGTCATGGGAAGATCACTCACTTCTCATGAGATAGTCAGTGGCATGCATTAAGTCATCTTGAAGTCTAGAGTTACGCTGACAAAATAAATTTCCAGTCAGAAGAGAGGTGAGGCCAATTAACTCCGGCCATAGAAAAATATACTATTTTAATTGTAACAGTCATAACACCTGTGTGAAATGAAGGCACATTCTCTACATCACAGCTTTGAAGACTTTTGGTCCAAGTTAACAGTCCATCTGGGTGTAACCCTCACCTCTCACATGGCGACGGAGGACACTGGGGGCCATACTAGGAACACAAGATATATAGAGATGGGTGTGAGCAAAGGAAAAGACGAGATACTGTCTCTACTTTATTTTTTCCCCTAAGCAGTATCTTTGGCAGTGTAAATACTGTATCAGTGTACTTTACTGGATTATATATCATATCTTGTTGTCATGTGTAACTTGTAATATGATATAAAATACTATGTTAGATCAACAATGAAAATAACCTGATCTGTTGGACAAATGGTCATACTTCTGAGATGAGTAGCAGAAACTACATTTCTATAGAATGTTTCTCAGCAGTAGAGACTTCATGTGCTATTAGGGCCATCTTATCAAATGAAGTTTCCAGTAGACTTGTGTGATGCCTAAGATCTTGAACTGTAATAATTTTTAAGAGATAGAAATATTTATTACGCAGGTAAATATGTTTTATTGATGCTTCATCACTTAATTACACTTTGCAACAAAGTTTAGTACTGTGGTGATGGCAGTTATACTGTAGAATATTTGGTAATTTAATCTTGAAAATAATAAATTTATATAGCAGGACACTTCTGGTAAAATTCACTAAAACCTTCCAAAAATGTATTTATTAATCAAAAATAGAAATCTGTTTAGATTTCCAAAGAATGTATCATTGGTGTTTTAAAGTTAGAAGCTGTGATTTTTCTCTTCTTATACTTGATTTGGTTTACATAACTTTTAGAAATGATGTCTATGTTCTACAAAATGCCTAAAAGCTGTTCTTTTCTAAATTAATTATAAATATTTGGTGGATATAGAGCAGGTCAAAGAATTCCTAGTTTATTTGGAGCTACCTAAACTTCTAACGCCAGGACCCAAAGTAAATTCCTGTAACCAGTTAAATGCCTAAGGCTCCATTGAGAATACGCACATCCTCCCAGGAATATCTCTTTCTAGCTGGAGTGCTGTTTACAAACTAGATTTGCCAAAGACATGACCCATGAATTTCAGTGATGGAAACTGATAGGCCTCTACTGAAACCTTTCTACCCAAGATAGATGCCAGATGAATAGAAAGAACTAAACATTCTTCCAAGTACATTTTTCACATAAATTGACATTGTACATGAATTCAAATTTGATCTAAGGGAAATCCATAGATATGGATAAGAAAGTAAATGTGCTATATATATGATAAATGTATGTGTACGCATATATATGTATATGAAATATATGTATGTACATTTCAGATTTTAGGCAAAAAGATGCTCACAAGCCAGAATTAAATCTTTTTCCAGGGACAAAGTAAGGAGGCAGCTACGTGCACAGAGCTGAAGTGTGTTAGGAATCCAGTTACCACCTGATTACTGTATCATCATCTGTAAAATGATCATAATAATAGTACTTACCTGACAGGAGAACAGCACTTTCTCCATAAAAAGTGCTGTTTCAAAAATCAGTATTTTTCCCAGATATTTGAAAGGAAGAAAATGAAGTAAAGGTTACTAAATATTATGTTGAAAATGTATACTGTGGTGTCAGGGAGATCTCCATTCAAATCTCCAGCAACATTAAAAGCTGAGTGACCTTGGAAACATTACCTAACCTCTCAGGGCCTGTATTTCTTTGGTTTAAAATTAAGCTGGTAGTTTTGCAGTTGTGAGATAAGGCATAGATGGAAACCCCCTTTATATAGTGGGTATTCAGTATTAGGCTACATTTCCCTACAACATTAGGGTTATTGAAGACCACATGCACATACACATACACAAATGTACCTGTTCATTTGTTTTTTTGTGGCTAATACAGTTGATTTTGTGTGCTTTTTTCAGGGTGAAAATGGCTTACCTGGGGTTCCAGGCTTACCTGGTCAAAAGGTAAAGAGTTTTTGTGTGTTGCATATGAATGAAGACTTTTAACATCATTACAATGGAATTTGTACATAGTATAGTGGAGATTCAGAACATGTATTTGACAAAACTGAATTCCATCAAAGATTCTTGGAAAGCTAATAACCGGTCTTTCCAAAGACCCAAGGAAGCAATTCTTTCTCAAGACCACTGAAGGAAGAAGGGCTTTATCAGAGAGCTTCAACATCACACTCCTTTAAAGAAGTCAATGACAGTGCTTCGTGAGGGCCCTGGAAGTAGAGATAGCCACTCTGGAAATGATTTTACTGCTTATAGCCGCAGTCTAAAATGTGTAGTAAAACGATTTTTACTGCCTTGGCCTGCACTTGACAATTTCTCATTTGTCCTTCTTTTTAACAGCTCAGATTGCATTACAAGTAACAGTTACAATGACATAAAGTGTTAAATATTACACAGATGTTATAGATGCCAAATTTCTTCCAAATATGTGTTTCAGAATGTCAAATTCATGATAAATAGGAAAGTTTCATTGGTGAGGCTTCTGTAGGTCTTTTTCTTTCTCAAGGTGGACTTCTTTTGTCCCTTTCTGCTGTCCAAGGACCACTCACTCACATACAGCACGACTGTATGTGACCAGCATTCTTGGAAGCACAGGGACTGGTGTATTCCAGTTTTCTGGAGGGACAGGGGTCACTTGTGATGAGGCCTCCTGTCATGGTACAGCCCAGATAATCCCAGCATAAAGATAAGCATTATTGGTGCAAAATTAGATGCCCACCAAAGCCAAGAATAGCATTTCTAAACAAACTTTACAGGTTTTAATCATAAGATGTCAGAAGTTGCTATGAATTTAGAGATTTCTCTGTAGCTAAAAATATCATTTTTTGAAATACGTGCACTTACAGTTACAGCTTTAAGAAAAAAAATCTTCTGTTATTTGGCCCAAAAAAGATAAGACCTTGAACTGGCAGCAATGCAGTGGCAAGCTTCTGAATTTCTTCACAGCAGTCCTAGACAAAATCCATTGATACAGCGTGTGCCACATCTGCCAGGCGAGTTGCAAGCCAAAGGATGTGCAGATTCATCTTCTGGGAGATGGCTTTGGACTTTCTAGCAGCTGTTTGCGGTGGCTGCATCCTGCTGACATGGGACTGGTACACTGGCATGGCCTGGCAGCTTCAATGTCAGCTTGAGTTAACAGATCAAGTTAAAGTACATATTTCAGGAAAAACAGTAGAAAAAAGCTAGATCGTGGTGAATATACCTACAAAGTAACCTATTTTCTTTCCTGATAAATGAGGTAAAAGTATTGTGGATCATATGTATATGTATGTACCTAAATCTATATGTATATATACATAACACCTAAACCTGTATTTGATTTTACAGATATATATATATATATATATATATATATATATATATTCCCAAACTCTGTATATGCACATATAGGAGAAGCTGGCATTCCTTTTCATATAATTGATATAGATTTTAATGATACTGATGTCCTCTGTTGAGACATTGCAGAAAAAAATCTTAAGAAAGCTTCCACCTCTTATCTCTGAACGCTGGGACTTCTCCCTAAGTACTTCTTATGTCAAGAAGGGGACATAAAAAGAGCAGAGGGAACCCACAAACTGTCCTCAGCACTTATGCTGTCACCGTGAATGCCAGACGCTTAAGAGGTGGCCAATGAATGTTTGCTGAATATATGAAAAAATATCAGTACTGTGAATACTGTGCCGAATTAACTGGGGAAATAAGCTTATCAAATGAGAGAGGATTTATTGAAGAAAAGGGACTTATGTCCTTTAGGATAAATATGGCGAATGGGAGCCAATAGCCCTAAAATCGTCAGTCCTTTCTGTAAGTGAAAGGCAGAAGTAGAAGGTAGGTGGGAACATGGTACTGGTGTCAGAGCAGGAGCCAGGCCCCATGGTTGAAACGTGAGTTGATTCACCGTACAAATCTCACTGCAATGACAGAGCATGGTAGTCTACTTTCTAAGAAGTCTGGAGCCAGTGAAATAAATAGTAATAATAACAAGAATGGCTAATAGTCCATGCTGGGGACTAGAATGACACCTTCACTTCGCAAAATAAATCAGTGAGGAAGGTACTACTTATCGTACTTATTTTATACATAGGGAAATTCAGGTTTTTGAATATTAAATTACCTTTGCAAGTAATGAAGCAACTAGGAAACTGTTCCTTTGGTATTTAAGAGTATTTAGATTTTGGGTTACTTAATATTAGTGTTTACAAGATAGGAATAATTATTTAAAATTAGTGATCTTTTTCATTGTTGGAAGCTTTATTGCTATAAATATTACCTGTGTTATAAGTATTGTTTCTGTTACTAGATGTACCATGTTTCTCTTCTACAGGGAGAGCAAGGTTTTGAAGGCATCAAAGGAGAAACTGGCGAAAAGGTAAATCTCTCTATATGTTCCCTGTATAGATAAGTTGTACTCTTGAACGTATTTTCAAATGTTGTAAAGCTTCTGTCATAAAGCTTCCATACTGAATTATATAAGCACTTCAGTACTCATAGAAAGAACTGCAAATATTTGCCTCCATTAAAATAGATCTAATATTTTGATGATATCACAAATCTTTCTAAGCTTATTTAGATGTAGTTAGACATTTCTGTTGAATACCTTCCATGGATACGTAAAGGATTCAAACACTTATTAAGCACCACAGTTTTATGTCAGTGTCCGTGATCCACCGTATCCAAGTCTTTGCACAAATATTCACTTGGTTTATCAATAAAATTGTTTCCTGAAGGAACAAATAAGAACTAACTGTAATAGGATGTCACACAAAAGAGATGGCACACTATAATTAGAACAGTTTCAAAGTTTAGTAAAAGGCTGATTTTAAAGGTATGGGTGACATATAAGAAAACCACAAGGATTTGTAATATCCCAGGTCGGCATTCAGCAGACCCTTTAACTCCCACACAATAACTGGAGCCAGTGACAAAGAGACCCATCGGGGAGGTTGGGACCAGGAGCTGAGCAAAGCAAGCAGCCCAAGGCAGTCTGTCCAAAGGGGAGCCAGGGCCAGAAACTGCCACTCCTGTCAATCCAAAATGAAAGCCCCTTATCGGTGCAGCCCGCATAGTTCAGCCTGCCAAGCCCTAGAGCGTGATGGGTAAGGTGGGTAGCGGACCTTGAAGTACCAGCCCCCTATCCATAGGGCTATCATCTCAGGACACCTTCTTACAGAACGAAATTCTGTGTGGTTAACTTGGCATTTTAAGAGAATATTTTGTTTCAATAAATAATTACTGAAGTCGTTTGATAGATTAAATGGAAAACTACTAAATCATTGTTTCATGAATATTTTTATTGTTAAGTATCAAGAATAGAAATGCCTGGTCCAGAATTTCCCTTCAGATGATCATTCTAAAATGCTTCTGCATTCCAAAAATCTACTTTTGTTTTAAAATAAAACAGCCACACTATCGCTTTTTGTTTCATAACTCTTGTGTACATCAAATGTCATGTAATTGGAATGCCAGGAGGAGGACTATATCATCACAAATTAGACAATGTTGCTTGCATTTAGCTTTCTTGACAATGATCAGTTATTTGCCTCTTCAATAAGTATTTATAGAGACAATGAGTGTCTATTATAATTATAAGACAAATTACACATGTTGTAAGCTACATAATAATTACTTGCCCCCACTGAACTGTTAGGAAGAAAAAAAGGATAGCCATATGATTACCATGAAGTTGGGGAGAATTGCATTCAATTATGATAATTTTAAAAGTGGGTCTCTTTTCAACGAAAAACTCCTTAAACATTTTTGCTTTAGAATAACACTCACTCCGAGGTCATGTCTTTAAAGACATGCTGTATTTATACATACTGATGATTTACCAGTGGAATTTTATCTGTAGGAATAAGTGAGACTCGTCAGTGTCACACATGTTCTGTGTAATATAGTCACTAACATGCTAAAACCTTACTTTGTATATGCAGTTGAATTGTTTGGGAATGAATGCGTTTTCACAGGCCAAGAGGTAGAGAAAAAACAGTTGCTACAGTTTGCTTCGAAGATTTCTGTTCTAGTTCCTCATATCTACTAGCTTGCATTCAAATAGCCATACTTATGCAGAGTCATTGAAAGGTGTCTGAAAGAAAACCTCAAACAGAAAAAAACAATAATCAAAAGAGAATCACAATTCTAATGATTGACAGTCAGATGTAGGAGTCAGGTAATAACCCTTATGTTAAAAAATGTTCTGCTTTGATTATTACTTATTGTGCATGCTGAGAAATTCATGTGCCCTGACCCATACCACATATATTTTTCACAGAGACATAATTGAGATCATGTGGTTGACTATTTTTAGAGGAGAGTTAAACAGGAGTCTATGAAGCATTCATTTCAGTGTTAGACCAGCATGAGGTTCTTGGAGCGCTTGCAATGTATTAGTTTCTGAACACAACCAGTCTAATTTAAATCTCAATTCCTTGTGGGAAGCTGAGTGTACAATTATAAAATGACCCGCCTTTATTTTTTTAAATTCCTTCCTTACGCCCTTGTCTGTATTTAAAATTTGCCAGTTTTGAATGACAGCAGTTGCCAAATAAAGTAACAAAAAATAAGAAAATAATTTAGTGAATGGTAAGGGTTGTCATATGTACCAAGGACATGTAATTATGGTCAAAAACATTAACTTTGAAGGATAAAATATTATGTGGGGATTTCTAGGTGATAATTCTGTAATCAAGTGGAGACCACGTAGAGAGATCTGTTGCTTCTTATTTTGGCTAGAAAACTAGCCTTCAGGCCAACTTAGCTCACTAGACTAACTGGCATCTAAAAAGTAGAATATACTATCCTTAGTACAAGTGCAGAGGAACTCATTTGAAAGTGCAATCATCCCTTGATATCCATGGGAGATTGGTTCAAAGCCTTCCTTGCAATACTAAAATCTTCAGGTGCCTAAGTCCCATATACAAATCCCATGTACACCTTACCTCATCTCTAGATACTTTAAATCAATTCCTTCATGATGTTTGCATAGTGTGATTGGAGACTATGTTAGAAAATATTTTCAAATTTGAAATGATAAAGTTGCTTTATGTATAGAGGAAAAGTATTATAGAAAAATGAAACTCTTCATTAGAGTGGTAATATAAATATGGTATCAGACAATTACACCAACGAATGATTTTGCTTTTTAAAAATCTAATGTCAGGTGCTCCTTAATTTTAGTTAAAGTAAAATTGAGATAGACTAAATGGAAAAAGCGGGTCAAAGTTGAAATGCATTTTTAAGAACTTCACTCTCAAAGCTTTCTTGGCAATTATGCTTAATATTCAGAACTAATGTAAGAATGTTAAATACTGTTATTATGAATATAGCAGTTTCCCATCATCACTTTAAAGTGGCTGTCAATATGTCACCTTGCTTCCTTAGAATCCTCTCTTGGTTCATCTTATAGAATTTTACTGGGTAGCAGCCTGTTACACAGTTGTTTCATTTACCCTGATAACGTGTGGCAAACTTCTACAATATTTAGTAAGGAATTTCATTCAACAGCTGACTTGAAAAATTAAGAAAACAGATGGAATAAAATAGCAACTATGACTTCAAAAATCAGACCAATTTATCTGTGGCCACTGCATATTGGTGTGGGAGTAACTATGCCAACTTCCAATTATGCATGGTAGCAGGCAGTTGGGACTGGGTGACAGCAGTCTACATCAGTCATTACAGATTGTGTGTTGAATTTTCTCAGTTCTTGATAACGCTAGTGTCTTGGTTACTTTTCTCTCATTGCTGGGACAAAATACCTGATGCCCAAAATTAAGGAAGGAAAGGTTTATTTCGCTTACAGTTTGTGGAGGTTTCAGTCCATGCTTGGCAGATTACAAGACAGAGTGGCACCTGGCAGAGAGCTACAGCTCATGGCAGCAGAACACAGCAAAAGCAACAAAACACACACCGGGAGGAAATGACCAGAAGCACCCTCTTCCTCTCCCTTACATATGCAAACTATCCACCCCAGGGCCGGTATAGCTCTCACAACCATAATCAATCATACTCTGAAAGCCTGCCCCATGACCACATGAGGCTTTGGGGGGACACCCAGACACAAACTGTAACAGCTAGTGAATAGTGCTAGTAATTAATGTGAAATATAGTTAATCCTCTGGAGTTGCATCACTTAGTACTAATTATGGAATATCAAAAAAAGGGGACTTGAGAGACACACAACAGACAAAAGGAGAATAATTATCAGGGACCATCGTATTTCATGAACATTAAAGTCTTGAAGCACTACTTTCAGTGCTTGTGTAATATTCCACTCTGTGATACAATATTTTGTTTGACCAGTCCCTTGTTGGAAATTTAAGTCTTTCCTGTGTGTGTCCTTGGTGATGTCGGCAAAGTAATTCCAGCTCAATAATAGAAGTAGAAGCCAGGCTGGAGTTTGTTAAAGGGTGAACTACCGTATGCTTGACATAGTAAAGAGACTGTGGAAAATCCACTTCAGAACTGGCTGTGGAGGGAACAATAAACAGTAGCTGGAAAAAGTGTGAGCTGCTGAAGAAAACTTTGTTAAACCACAATCCAAAGCAGTGTTCTAGGTAGAAAATATTCTTAACTAGAAAATTACAGATGGCTTATCCTTCCAGAGGACTGTCAGACTTAAGCCAGTAATCATATATTTTTAAAATTCCATTAAAATCAACAGCAAAAATGTCACCATTATTATTTAATAATATTCTAGCATTCCTGGCCAATGTCAGTTTTACTTCTAAACTAAAGCATAACTGAAATCTATCCATTTCTCTGCATTTACCTCAAAATTAACAAATCTGAATTATTTATTAGCCACTTTCTAATTAATCTGCTTGTTTTCACTTTTGTCCCTCTCCTATCTATTCTCCAAATGATAGCCAGATGGATCTTTACAGAACTAATCACATGCTCCAATTTTTAAAATATTTTAGCTGCTTCTCATTATGTTAAGATCCAAATCCCTAACATGTCACACAAAGCCCTGCACAGCCTGGCCTACACCTGCCTCTTGGAACTCATCTCTCCTGTCTCCTCCCCTCTGTTGTGTGTGTGTGTGTGTGTGTGTGTGTAGGGCGGGGGGACTGAGGATTGAACCCAGAGAGCTTATACCGAGCTATAGATTTTAGCCCATTTTTCTTACATTTTGGTTGGAGTCCTGATCTCATTAAGTTTTCCAGGCTGAGCTTTAACTTGTCATCCTCTTGCCCCAGCCTCCCAAAGTGGAGTCTACACTCACATGTTCTGCTTCTGCTTCAAACACACCAGTCTTCTTTTGTCTCAGACATGTCCATTGGTGTCTCCACTGCATGGAATACATTTTCTTTTTCCTTAACTCACTTCTATTTATTGATTACACCTTAAGATTCATTTTCTTAGCTA